TGCCGAAGTGGAGCAGAAGCCAGGAAGTGGACAACGCTCTGCCTAGGGCGTTGTCCACTTCAGGGGCGTCCTACAATTCCCAACGCTCTGACAACCTCGCTCGTCCTACAACGAGACCCTCGCTCTGGTGCCACCGTGGCATTGCCACGCGATCAACTACTCACTCCTATCCTTCCTATTTGTGCGTTTAGTTACGGTAAGTCTCAGTATTACTATCTCATACATCCTGAACACACGTAACCGGAGAATGGTTAGGTCTCAGAGCTAAGGTTCGATAGATGATGAACTAGTGTAGGTATGGTGTTTGCATTATAATTGGAATAGGTTGGCAGGTTGGTCTTCCACATTAGGAATCGCTGCCTCGCCCTCCATTTTATCACAAAAGAACACTGTTTAATTGGCCAACGAAGTCCCCAGCCCTCTCCCTTGAATATTCCCCAAAATTTCACCCAGGGCGAGCGAGATTGCGTCCTTGACTATTCCCCATTCTCCTTGATTATTTGCATTTACCCCCCCCCCCCCCACAGGTCTTGGCGCCTCAACGTGGCGTGGGGGTGACCGGTTCGGTATAGCCGGTGCCAAGCCTTGACCACCTCTGCCTATACTCGTACATCCCTCAGCGGGTGCCTTGGAGTATGGTGGGGTTTCTCTCCGTTGATGCCTGTTTAGCTATTTTCTAGCGTTTCATTCGGCGGGCTGCTACTATGTGTATACCTGCTCTATCTTACCCTTGCATTATATCTCATGCCACGCCGTTCCCTCTAACGATTTTGTCTCATGATATTCCTGCATCACTGTCTACTTGTCGAGGATTTCTTTCACCATTGCCGTGGCTTTTGTCAGGCTTCGGCCTTTCTTTCTACTGAGTTACGTCGTACTTGCCACTACCTTTGCCCAACAGTTGCTCCCGTGTTCTTTCGCTCAGGTGTCTCATTTTATGCATTCGCATTCGCCCCGCCTTGTTAGTTGTTCTCCCTTGTCTTTCCAGGTACTATCTATTCGGCGTCGTGCCCGAAATCGTTTGGTGGACAAGACGTCAACACCACGTGCAGCACCAGTGGCGGCGGGCTAGTATCCTTTTCGAATACTACCTCAGTTGGTTTTGCAGCATAGTCTACCACGGTCTACTGTATGAACTGGTAATCATCGCGATGTCTTCTCGCTCTCGGCAATTTTACTGTCAATGTTCACCATCATGATTCCCGGTATATTCTGCCCAGTGCCGAAGAAGCAAGAGGAGCGTCTACTGTACTGTCGTCGACTTGACTTACTTCCCCTAACCAGCCGCAGCTGTATCCTGTCTGCTGTGTAAACTCTGTTCTGGTGGTTCATTACTCTCCCTGCGCTTCTCGTAGCTTATATCTGCGATGTTGTAACCTTTGCATATGGTAGAGCTGCCCGGGGTCTATATCGTCCTCTTTATAGTAGTCGTATTTCTTTCCTCATTTCAAGCTCTTTTTTCTTATTTTAGGTATTATACCTGGCCCCGCTCTTTGCATATCTACCTTTCTCTCTCGTTGTAGTAGTAGCAGCACATATCTCTGATGTCGACGGGTTATAGCTCACTGTCTCTTTGGGTGCTTCTG